TGGAATCAACCCCAGTGTCCATCAACAGAGGAAAGGGTAAAAAATGTGGTATATACACAGAATGGAATACTATTCAGCCATAAAAAGAATGGAGTCCTTCCATTCATGTCAACATGAGGACATTATGTTAAGTGAAATAATCCAGGCACAGAAAGATAAATGTTAACACTCATGTGAAAGCTGAAATAGTTGATCTTGTGGAAGCAGAGATTAGAATAGTGGTTACTAGAGGCTGGGAAGAGTAGGGGGTATGGGGTAGGGAGGGGTCGGGTTGGTTAACGGATACAAAATTACAGCTAGATAGGAGGAATAAGTTCTATTGTTCTATAGCACTGCAGAGTGATTATAGTAAACAATAATTGTATTTTTTCAAATAGCTAAAAGAGAGGATTTTTCATGTTACCAACACAAATAACTAAAAATTAGAGGTGATGGGTTCCCTAATTACCCTGATTCAATAACTATACATTGTACACATATATTGAAATATCATACTCTACCCTATGTGTTAATTAAAAAATATATATATATGAGTAATAAAAAAGGAAGGAAATCTTGCCAATTTCAATAACATGGCTGGAGCTGAAGGATATTATAAGCTAAATGAGTAAGATACTGAGAGAGCTGCACGATCTCACTTACAAGTGGAACCAAACTAGTCAAACTCATAGAACCAAAGGGAAGATAGTGGTTTCCAGGGGCTGGGGGGAGAAAAAAGTGGGCTGACATTGGTGAAGGAGTACAAAGTTTTCGTTATGTAGGATGTATAAATTCTGGAGACCTAATATACAGCACCGTCACAATGTTTAACCATATTGTATACTTGAAATTTGCTAGGAGGGTAGGTCTTAAATTTTATCTTGTTAACACACTCAAAATGGTAAGTGTGTAAAGGTGATGGGTACTTTAATTAGCTTGATGGTGGTAATCGTTTCACCATGTATATGTTTATCAAAACATAAAGCTGTACACCAGACGCACCCACACACGTGTACACACACATCCCCTCGCACACAATTTTTATGTCAATGATATCTCAACAAAACTGTTAAGAAAAGAAAATGTGGTATATGCATAAAATGGAATGCTATTCAGCCGTTAAAAAGAAGGAGATTCTGCAATATGTGATAACATAGATGAAACTTGAGGATATTGTACTAAGTGAAATAAGCCAGTTCCAGGAATACAAGTACTGCATAATTCCACTTGCAGGAAGTTTTTAAAATAGTTCATAGAATCAGAGAGTGGCATGCTGCTTACCAGGGCCTGGGGGGATGATGAAATAGGGAGTTACTAGTCAATGGCCATAAAGTTTTATTCAAGAAACATGAATAAGCTGTGGATATCTGCTGTAAAATACTTCACCTGTAGTCAACAATAATGTACCCTTAAATTTTTTAAGACATTAGATCTCATGTTATGTGTTCTTGCCACAATTAATTTTTTTTTAAAAGTCAAGGATCTCCTGTGCCTGCATCTAGAGTTGGGTAAGGAGCATGGACACCTAAGTGCCCTTCTCTCAGCTCTCTTCCTGCCTGGGAACAAGAAATACAGATATGGAGAGTCACCACTTTTCTTCCCTGCTTGAGAATCCCCTTCTGCATCCCCTGGTGGGCTCTTTGTTCCCATAGTAACTGGTGGGCTCATGCTGCTGGGTGCAGGTGCAACAGCCTGGATACGTGAGGAACTGAGCCTCCTTTATGCTGATGGTGCCAGCTCCACCCTCGCCTCTGTGGCCATCCTCTAGCAGCTGTCGTAGATGTCTGTTTCCCAGATATGAACATCTCATTGATCTCATTACTATCCTCGTTGGAATCCTCCAGTAATTCTGAATCACTCGGGAATTAAAGTCCATGCTCAGTACACCATTCACAGTTCCTATCAGGCAGATGTCCGCAGAAATGGTGGAGTAAGTACATCTGAAAATCCTCTCCTCTGTGAAACCAACAAGAACACTGACAAAAATTGTCAGAATCAATGTCACAACTCTGGAAATTAACCAAGACTTGCAACAATTCAGGAGTGTTTGTTTAAGAAAAACAACCAAATCTCAGGAAGAACAGCAAGCTCCGAGGTGTTTTAACGTATCCCCATTCTCATCCTCTCATCTCCTCAGCTTCGTAGTGACTTTGAAAACCAACTATCACAATCGCAGTGAAAAACAGCAAACTGGCAGCCACTGGAGGGGTTTGGAATGGGGTTGGTGCTCTTTGAAAGCCCCATTCTCAGAGAATTGTCATTATTGGACCTATTGGGAAGTGCCATGGGAAATCCCCCTCATAAGGGTTGTCTTTATTTGACCTAACTCAATGCAAGTGTCAACAGCCTTTGCTCAGCATGCTTGTTGAAAACAGTCAGTGGCAATTATTTAATACCATAGCTACCTTAGGCAGTGATAACAGTTGAGGCAAATAGCAAGATAACCAAAAAAATTAAAGGAAGAACTGGGGAATGAGACATCAGTAGGGTGCTTTGAAAGGCTCTGGGAACAATTCTAGGAGTTTCAGAAGACCATGCTCATGTAAAATTAGTTCAGAAAAGTCACTAAATAAGCAACATAAAAAAACAAACAGCAACAACAGCAATCCCTGATGTTAGGACAGGGTGCCACAGGGAAATCTGATTTCCAGAGTTACCACACTGTATTATTCAGTTCTCAATAAAAATGTATGAGATGTACAAGAAAACAAGTATGGTTGGCCCACACACAGGAAAAAAAAGACAATCAGTAGAAACTGTCCCTGAGGAAACCTAGACTTTGGTCTTCTTAGACAAAAACTTTGTCAGCTATTTTAGATATATTCAAAGAACAAACTGCCTTTAAATAACTAAAGGAAACTATGAGAATGGTTTCTCACCAAATAGAGCACACCAACAGAGAGACAGAAATTATTTTTAAAAACCTAAGTAGAAATTCCAAATTTGAAAAATACAGTAATTGAAACGAAAAATTCACTAGAGGGGTTTGACAGCAGATTTGAGCAGGCAGAAAAAAGAATCAGTGAAATTGAAGCTAGGGCAATTGAGATTATCCAGTATGAAGACCGAAATGAAATAAAGGATGAAGAAAATGAAGAGAGCCTCAGAGACCTGCAGGACAACATCAGGCACATCAATACACTTACAGTGAGAGTCCTGGAGAAGGGGACAGAAAGAATATTTGAAGAAGTAATGACTAAAAATGTCCCAAATATTTTGGAAAACATTAACCTACACGTCTAAGAAGCCTGTTGTACTCCAAGGTGGATAAACTCAAAGAGACCCATACCGACACACATCATGATTAAACTGTCCACAGCTAAAGACAAGGAGACAATTTTGAAAGCACCTGGAGAAAAATGACTTATCATTTACAAGGGATCTTCAACAAGATTACCAGTTGATTTTTCATCAGAACTTAGGGTGGCCAGAAGGCAGTGGGATGGCATATTCAAAGGCTAAAATAAAAAGATAAGAATTCTGTATCCTGCAAAAGTTACAGGAGCAGCACCTGCTGTATCCTCTGCCTGGAACCTTCTTCTGTCAGTGTCTATGTGCCTCCTTCCCTTCCTCCCCTCCTTCAATCCTAGTTTACAGTGCACACAACTCCATACCCACCTTCCCTGCTTCGATTTCTCTACAGTTACATGTGTCACCTTTGACATACTCTGAATGTCTCCCCCTTCTCTGAATAGAATGGAATCTTTCTGAGGGCAGGGGTGTTTGAATCTTTTGTTCACTGCTAAATCCCAAGCACCTAGAACAAGGCCAGCACATATAGCCCTCAATAAATATTTGTTGAATGATCAAGTGAATAAATGAATGAATGAATTACAATTCTTAAAATTATAAATGATTATAAACAATTACTGAGCTCTTATTAGATGCAAGGTATGACCTAAACTCTAGTCTTGCTCTCATTTTACTGATGAAAGGACAGACATGCAGAACACTTAGGTAAGTTGTTGTGGTCCTGTTGCTGTCACTGGCAGAGCTAGACAGCTCCCCTGGAGTCCAAGCTCTAAGCCCATCTCCCCTCCTGCCACTCCTGGCTGTTCCATCTTTGGCGACATCTCCTGTTGTCGATGAGAATGGTGGTTTCCCTTTACTTGGCATTTATGTCTTTCATATAGGGGTGCTGGGGGGTAGTCTGGGTTCAGGAAGTCCCAAAGTTAGAGAAAAGCCAAGAACACTTTGAAAAAAGTGATGAATAAATGGTTGGGACCTAGTTAAGAGGTATCTTAAAGATACAAAATTTTTCCAGACAAAAACATGATTTTTCTTCGTTTCTCTAATATTCCACAAAGAGCACCTTTTAATTTTATAAGAAGGTAAAACAATAGAAAAAATGTTTTTAAAGTCTTATTATCTCCAGAAAAAATAGTTCTGTTCTGTGGGTGGACATTGTGTTGTTTAGTTTGGCCCCAGTTCTGTAATAAATAGACGCCCAGTATGTAGAGGCTTCAGCACAAGAGAATGTGTTTCCTGCCCTCATTGCAGACTAAAGGGGCAGTGCCGTTGCCCAGTAACTCAGGGACACTGTCCCCTTCCATTGTGAAGCTTTGACACCACACCCAGGGCCTCATGGTCACCTGTATCCAGCTGGCGGAGGAGAAACATAGGGTGTGGAGGGGCCCATGCATTTAAAAGCACATCGCTTCTGCTCTGTGCTGCTGGCCACATCCCAGCGCTGTGGCCCCCCAGGAAGGGCAGGCAGTTCTAGCGGAGACCAGGTGGGATATCCCTGTGTGGTGTGTGGGGTCAGCACGGGGCATGGCGAACTCTGAATGGCCCCTGTATTTACTCCCCCTGTGGCCAAGAGGGTGTCCTGTGGCTTTTCTGAGCCTCCATCTTCTCACCTGTAAAATGGGAACAAGAAGCCTTCATTTCCAGCCTGCATCGAGGAATAAATGGGGTGATTTATGCTAAAGTGATTGGTAGATATAAATGTCCACGCAGCTCTAGGGGTTATTTCCCAAGTGGCTGTGAGGAGGGCGGCCTGGCACCCCTTTCTCTTGCAGCATCCTGTTTGCAGACATCGTGGGCTTCACAGGCTTGGCGTCCCAGTGCACGGCCCAGGAGCTGGTGAAACTCCTCAATGAGCTTTTTGGCAAGTTCGACGAGTTAGCCACAGTAAGTGCAGCGTTTTTCTGTGTTTGAATTAAATTATAATAGAATTGCTTCTGGAATAACGATATGCCAGGTGGATTCCCTATATTTGGAATATGAACTAGACTGTTTGCTAAGCAATTCTTCTGTCAAGGTTATAAGTCACCAGTTGTTTTTAGCCTTACTGTTCACTGATTCCTCTCGTTGGGCCTGAGACTTGCATTTACCAGGTAGGAGAGTGCTTGCACAAGCGCGGCCAGTGTGCCTTTGAATGACTGTTGGGCACAAGGCTCTGTTGTGCAGGCCGCACGGAGGTCTGGGCCTGCCCTGTGTGCCGCCGTGCTGCCGTTCTGCCCTGTGGCAGACAGAGCCAGAGGTTCAGCCCCTTGTTCGGAGGCAGCCTCGGCTGCGGGCTGTGCTGGAGCCGGCCCTGTTCTGGGCCTGCCGCCCTCCTGGGATTGAAACCTGTCTGCTGGTGGCCTGGCTGCTGGTGCCTCATGATGCCAGGTGTAGGCAGTGGTCACCCTCGCCCTCAGCAGGCTGCGTGCTGGGGTTTTTAGAGACTGTCCTGAGACTGGCCACATCTGGCAGCTAAGTCTCGCTGAAGGTGTGGCGTGTGTGTCACGTGTCACGTGTGTGTTTGGATGGCGAGACAAGCAAGCCAGCCACACCTCCGCATGCGGCCAACATTCCCTTGGCCACTGTGATATTTCCTCCATCGTGTGAGCTGGTCTGGGGTCTCAGGAGCCCTTTGCACTCCTGGAACTCAGCCATGTTGGCCATGGGCCCCTGAGGGGCTGCCGGTGTCACCCCTTCTCCCCACGGGGCTGGGGTGCCAGCTGCTGAAGCCGACAGGCTGTCACGGGCTCAGGGGGAGCACATTTGCTGTGCGATGTCACTATCTCACCCTCCATTTTTCTCTGCTGCCCCGAGTGGTTGGGAGGAACTGTACTGCTCGCAGCAGCAGTCGGAGCAGGAGCTGGGAGTGCGCCCTTTACCACGTGCGGGAGTCTCCCTCTCGCCGTTCACGCGGCCGGTCCTCCCTGAGAGCGCACGCCCCCGTGCAGGCAGGCCTGCTTCCAAAGGGCGACTGGACGACTGACCGTGGCCCTGGGAAGTCTCCCCTCTCTGAGGAAGGAAGGGGAGCAGAGGGTCAGTTGTCGGGGGAGCCGCTGACCTGCCTGGGACCCCCAGTGTCCCTGCCTGCCAGGGTGTGGGAGGAGCACGGTGCGATGGAGCCAAGTGCACTCATGGCAGCCTCGCTCGAGGGGGGCGGGCGCCGAGGTTGCTGCGGGAGGACGGGGCAGCGAGCCCTGTGCGGAGAGTCAGCCCCTTTCTCAGGTGAGGTGACAGTGGAAGGTGCTGGGGGAGGGAGCGGATGCCCCCTCAATGAGGGAGAGAAAGGGGGGAGTGCCCGGCCTGGGGCTGGCTTGTGCAGAGTCCTGAGGGTTGTTCTGAGCTCAGGGCAGGGCTGGGTGTGGGGTGCCCCTGGGCAGAGCAGAGCTGGGCGGTGGTCACACGGGGCTGAGGCTGCCCAGACTTGCTGCATGTGGCAGCAGTTTAGGGGACCCAGTGCAGGTGGAAGAAAACTTGACAGCCGGTTGTGGACGCCTGGGGTAGGGCGAGATATTAAGGTGGGGGAAGGAGGGATCTGGGGCACTGTGGGGAGTGAACAGGTGTTGAGATCCAGTTGTGCAGTCTCTGTTTGCTTTTCTGATGGATCAGGCAGCAGAACCTTTCTCACATGGCACCCCGTTGATTGGTTGGGCCGGCGTTCCGCAGGACCCTATTTGGAAAAGCCTGCGTCATCTTCCCTGAGGATGAAAGCAAGATGGTAGCTCTCCATTTGGGCCGGGCATGCTTTCTGGCCCCAATGATATTTTCATCGGGCACAGGGGCTTCTAGTCACAGTGTCCCTGCAGCCTCCTCTGGGATGTCCCTCCGGCTTGTCCCCCTGGACTGTGGCTGTGGCTGCCTTTGCACAAGCTGCCCTTGCCCTCTGAGACAAGGCCGCCGGGTCTTCCTGTCGGGCACAGCAGTGTGGAGCAGGTGGAAGGGGGTGTGTGCGGCCTGTGTCCGGTGTGCAGCTCATCGGCACAGAGGGCGGAGCTCCAGCCCCTCTGCATTTGGGTCAGAAAGCGTGTTTTGTCCGGATGCCGGGGCATGGCCTATGCTCCCAGGAAGGCCTGACGGCTGAGGGCTCACGCAGATGTGGCAAGTGTCATTTCCTTGGCCTGCATCTTGCCTCCTGCCCCTTCAGCAGGAAGCAGGTCATCTCAGAAGCTTCTGGATGGAGGGTTCTGCTTGGCCCCACCTGGGCCTTTTCTCTCTCATGGTGCTCTCAGCTTGTGCTGGTGACAGGACAGGGCTGGGCCCTCCATCCTGACCATACGATTCTGTCTGTGGCAGCCCTGAGGTCAGCATCCTTGTCCCAAGGGGACAGGAGCCACATTTGGTCAGCCCAGGTCCCATTGCTGTCCTGCTGGAGACTCCCCAGGGGCTCAAGTTCTCTTAGGAAGCACCTGTCAGCACCTGTCCTTGTGGAGTCTCCCTGCCCACCAGGCGGCTGGACGCCCGTGACGGCTCACTCACCCGGCTGGCCGCTGATGCTGGCCACGGCACGATTTCTTCTGGGCTGTCTTCTGTGGACTTTCCCAGTGCCTCTCAGGGCATGGCACTGGCTTCCCAGACCCCAGGATGCTCACCCCAGCCCCTTCTGCTGTGCTTTGTTAGTCAAAACAGGAGCAGGGCCTGCCGAGTCCAGAGAGGGCAAGGGCTGGGGTGATTGCTGCGGCTACCCGTGGAAAATACTGTCTGCATTGTCCCTCTTATGCCACATGTGGCTGTGGGGCTCCATGTTCTCTTCCTTCTTCATCATTGCTTAAAACACAATTCCAACCCTGTTGCTTTGTGGTTTCTTCCTTTGGTAAAGAAGTGCTGGGGTGGCTGCTGGGAGAGACTGAAGGTGTCACCGAGAGCTACCGTTGTTTGCGGCAGTGTGCCATCACTGCAGTCCTAGTCCCTGGCATCCGCTGTTCCTTTTTATCTGCACTGCTGTCTGGGGTGCAGGGGATGGGGGTCTCTGGGCCTGTTTGGGGGATCACATGCTCACTCATCTCATGTTTCCACGTTCCAAGCAGCTCCTCAAAACCTACTCAGCTCTTTTGCCAGGCCACTGAGTTGTGTCTGGGGCACTGACCTGCACACTTTCGTCAAGAAGCCTGCACATGCTTCAGAGAGTAGGTGATGCACATGGAGGAAACGTGTGCCAGGTCAAGTGCAGCTAGAGATGTGTCGGGATGTGTGAGTGTGTGCTTGTACTTATGTGTGTGAGCAGGTCCACGAGTATATGAACATGCGTGTGTGTGTGTGCATGTGCAAGTGCACGTGAGCCTGTGTGCCTGTACATGCATATGCGTGTCTACGTGTGTGTGTACATGAGCATGCATGTGGTATACATGAGTATGTACATGTGCGAATGTGTACATGTATGTACCTGTACATGCCTGTGTGTGCCTGCATACATGTATATCCCTGTGGGTTGCTGCCTTTTGTTGGAGACATTTCTCTTGGTGTCCTTTGCCAGCACAAAGTACAGTCACCTCATGAGAAACAGAGAATGAGATGATGTGATTCTGTGTCAGGGGACTCTGTCCTCTGTTTTCCTCCCATCTATACATATAGTCTTTGTCGCAACAACCCAGCTCTGCCATTGGAGCACAAAAGCAGCCACGAATACGGAAACCAATAGCCGTGGCTGTGCACCAATAAAACTTTACAACAAGTGTGAGTGGGCCCACAGGACATAGTGTGCCAGCCCCTGCTCTACACCATGATGCTCTGAATGGAGTTATGTCTATTTCAAGACACTCGTGTGTCCTGTCTTCTCCATGTGCCTGCCCAGCAGCCGAGAGGTGGCTGACATGTTGGCCCCTGGGCTGGGGGGTGCCCTGGCAGTTAGGCCCCAGTGTGGAGTGCCCAGGCCGTGCTGCTGGCTGCCCTCGTTCCTGGAGATGCTGTTTCCAGATGGCAGAACTTACAGTGCCAGGCAGAGAACAAACATATCATTACAGCTGGAAGGTGCCTTTAAGTGACCCTTGAATCCTGCCAGCTGAGAGCTCCAGGTGCCCACAAGGAACGCAACAGACAGAACTGGAGGAGCAATCCCTGTGGCTGAGTTCGCGTACCAGCAGCATAAACAACATCACGCTGAGAGTGTAAACCTCCTGTGTAAAGTGCCAGCTCGTTCCCCAGGAACATTTGAGTTTGGGCTGAAGAGATTATTTCCTGGTTTTTAGAAACACGTTTTTGTAAATGGAATCCATTTGGGTGTGAACCTCACAGCCACATGGGAGCAGAGGAGATCTCGATTAGGGATCTCACCAGCCAGGTGGAAGGAGGATGAGGTCTTGCCAAAATGCACTAGTGCCACCCCAGAGTGACCAGCCCCAGGGTACAGAGGGCCCCATAGCATGTGGGTGGGGCACATATTGGCCATCACTTGCTTTGGAGCACTAGAAGGCCGAGGCAGGGTGCTCCAGTGTGAGCACAGGGGGCTGGGCCTGTTCCTTCTCTTGACTGCTGCCCTTAAAATCGAGGTAGAACTTTAAGAGCCTGGGTTGAAAGTTTCGAGTTTGGCTTCACTGCGCAACATGAGAAGGAATCGAAGGCTTAGTTGGTTCCCTTCACCATAGGAATCTTTGTAATATCCCAGCCAGGTTACGATGTCATTGTCATTCTAGAAGTCAGCAAAAGGAGGATCCTATGGTAAAGCAGCTTCCCTGGAGCCACCACCAGGATCAGATGCAGTGTCACTATGGCTCCAAAGTTTGCTTCCTTAGGAGAAGGGAACTCCTATTCATCCTTTAAGGCCCTAAAGGCCATCTTCTCTATAGTCCCTTGATTTTGGGGCCTCTAACATTTCTCTGGCTTTCTGTGGAATAGGGTGCATCCTGTCCAGCCAACACTGCTCATCCTGGTACTGTATGCATTTTTCGGCAAGGCAATGGCCTCCTGTGGGCAGC